AAAAAAAAAAAAAAAAAAAAAAAAAAAAAAAAAAAAAAAAAAAAAAAAAAACTGAAATTCCAATCCCATTTTTTTTTTGTGGTTCGAGCCCTAGGGGAGCCCCCGATCGTCCGCTAATTCAGCTCGAAACGCTCACGCGAACCGACGTACCTAACAGGGGAGCGTATAAAAAGGTGGCAAGTACGCAATTTTCAAAGTCATCGTGTAACAGGCTCGAGGGGTTTGCCACATATAATCGCTCGACCGAAGCGCGCGTGCATCGATGAATTCCTCGTCGACCACCACACACATAATGCACGTTACACACGTTAAGCTATGTATATGTATATATATATATATATAATATTTATGTCTTGGTAAAAGATCTTAAATCTTTTGGGGACTTCTAAAGTATTTGACAGACTTAGAATGACTTATGAAATCTTTTTAATGACTTTAAGAGTGCGTAGCCTCTCAGATATATATGTTTAAAATATGTTTTTTAAGATTAAGTTGCGTGGAAGCTCGACGAGGTAAGTTTGAGAAAGCAGACGAAGCCTCAGCGACCGCGCTACTATTTACTTCAGATTTGCATACTCGAATTTTCAAATACTGAAAAATAAGTATTCTTTAGCCAATCAAACGCCCATACAGGCTCAAATGTATTTTTTTCCCTAGACATTATCTGTTCGTAACTTGATGCGAAATCAAAATGTATCTCAACATAGTTCAAACTTTAGTTGACAGAAAAAATCAGTATAAACTATACTTAATACTTAGTTGTGAGTAAACTTATTAGATAAAATGTTGTTTGGTTAGTAAAAGTAGGTGTCTTCAAATATCAGAGATATNAAACAGCGGAATTTATTGACACAAGAGAAAGACAAAAATATTTAAAATATAAAAACACGTTTTTACTATCGAACTTAACAATAGAAAAGAAAATTTTAATTCAAGTCACGAAACTGTTTCCTTATTATCACGTACGCTATGGGAAGCCTCTTGTTCATCCACCATGAGTGCGATAAAAAATTAATGACTGCTTTATATTTAAGCGATATTTTATAACCTTTCAATTAATAACTTTTTCTAATATTTCAATAACATTCATTATCCACACTCAATCAAGCCAGTTGACAATATCATCTACGTAAAAAATTAATTGTCTCTAAATTCAAGTAGAGACGCCTAGTTCTTACTTGATAAGGACGGAGTTAAAAAGTGAATGTGATGTAATGCACTTACGTCTCACAGTACTGTTGTTATTCATGAATTTTAAATAAGAAAATGGTTAAATATCAATCGCACGATTTCATCCACACCATCACTTATAACAGAAAAAAAAGTTGAATAAAAGCGTATAAGAAAATATGCGTCATTGAGTTGAAATTTTGAAAGATAATTTTGAGATGTTTGGCAATTATTTACGAAAGTGCATATATTACTAAACACAAACAATTACACTTTTTGAGATGCATATTTGACGGACATAGTTGGTTCTTGTTCATAAACATCAAAAACGCTGTTTCCCATTGTATATTGACGGCGTTTAATTGAGTACTTGCAATACTCGAGCTTTTCAAAATTAAGTATGAAACTCAGGTTCAAACTGATAATTGAGTAAATGAGAATGTTCACCCGCAAGCTTTTTGTCACCTGCCAGTTGCTGCAGGAAAGCCATCATGGCGTCTCTCAAACGTATATTTAGAAACGCACATTTACCACTCTTGTATTGAAAATTTACCTAATTAAAGTAACGAAACGTGTCACGAAACTTAAAATAAATCAGACGAAGGTAAGTTCAACGTACTACTACATGGCAGCTGTGTAATTAAAAGAAGAATTAAAGAATGGAAATGCTAGTCCTACAGGCAAGAAAAAAGATATCATTGATAGGTTCATACTGAAGTGAATAATAACTAAAAAGATACTTTTGTCTGATTTATATTTAATTTTCCTGCCTCTTTGCGTTCCTTTAAATTACAATTGTATCTGTATATACACGTATATTTTCAATGCAAAAGTGGTAAATGTATATTTGTACATCCATGTACGTTTGAGACGCCATGATGGCTCTTCTACAGCAACGCTGCAGGTGGCAAAGCTTGTAGGCAAACATTCTCGTGTAGGATTTTAAAGTGTAACTGCGTACTTTCTTAGTTTGATGAGTTTCAAACTTTCTGCAAATGTAGGAGAGCGAATTTCAACTTTTATTAAGTAACTGCAAATGTTTGAAGTTTATAGTAAGGTTGGGACAAAAATTGGCCATTTTGAACACGCGTGAACAAAAAATAATTACCTGATATTTGAATTGCGACTTCAAGCAGAGTTACTTGTTGAACGGCCATCTGTGGTTTTGCTTCCTTCAACACGAAAAACATGATGAGGCTCAGTACCGTTGCAGCAACCACCAAAACGCCTCCGAATAGCCCTCTGTAAATGAAATTTCTCAATTTTTGAAAAAAACATAATCAGGTGGGTGATCAAACTGGCTAGGAGGAGATGATTCATGACTCAAACTACCCCTCAAAATCTTTAAAAAAAAATTGTAGTTTTAGTAGCACTGTATGAAAAGTGATCACTTGGAGCCTAGATGAGAATTTGGAGGGTCATAAAATAAGAAAGAGTAAATTCAAAAATGATGAAGTCAGGATAGCTAAAAATTTTTTAAATACATAACAGGATGGATATAATTATCATGACTAAAAGTATAGGTGCTAATATGTACAAAAATGAAAAGTAAATAACGCCAATGTCTCAAAAATAGAAAATCACTGCCAATTGATATTCAACACAAAGCTTTCAAATTGCTTTGGTTCTAATTGCGTTATTAATTTTCTCTCATTTTATTTACAGGTATTTGTTTATGTAAGATCGTAAAAGTTTCTACTATCATCCTTTCTATCATTTTAGGGTAACACCTGGCTCAGCTACAAATAAAGCTTTCGTAAGTACGCGATTAAAAACATTATGTCTTGAAACTTGAAATATATATTGCGTACATTGCTAATAGTCTGCCAGATAAGTAGTTCTTATTTTCAAAGTAAAACTTAAATATTAATAGTTATTATTTTAGCTGGAAAAAAGTTGTGTATTTGCTTTACTTAAACTTTTTGATACTTCAAAACGCTTCTAACTGCTTAGTAAAAAATCTTTAATCAAATTCTACACCTCTATATTTTTTACTTTTCTTATTTTCTAGGTTCGTTTTAACATTATATGTTGAACCAAAAAGTTTTGTTTTGCGTCTTGGATTGAAGCACAACCGTACCTGTATCATAGAATTCAAAAAACTCTGACTTGTAATGATGTTTAAATGCTCTCTAAAAATTGTTAGTGTCGATTGTTACAGCATTAAGTTTTTAAATGGTTCGTGTAAGGTAGTGTCATATTTTAATCACTATAAATAACCGTAAAGCAAGATTACTTGGTATATTAACCTATAGTACTATTGCGTACAGTAATATAAAAGGATAAATTTGGAGAAATACTTGCATAATAAATTTTACTGTTCATAAAAACAATATAGTAATTCGTGTATTAAACATTCCTTATATATAGATTCATGACACTATATCCAGCGATCACAGTATTGTTGTTGCGTTTCTATTGACGAAATTCATCGAGGTGAGAGCACTAGATTGATAAGATGATATTCAAGAGAATATTTAAGATTGTGTAGTTGGTCTTTAATAATTACAGCAGCACCACCTTTCAAATTAATACTTATAAATTATAACTTTTTATAACGTAATTGGATCATGGATAACAGTACGAGTAGCTCGGAAGCGTTTAATCTACTTCTTCTGGAGTTTTCAATGAAATTGGCTTCTGAGGGGTCACCCATTGTTTTTTGTAAATAGCATAATTTTTGATAAATGGATGGACCAAAAATTAAAAAAGAAGGACCTGTGTGCACTGCCGCAATCGATGCTGAGTTGATGAGTAGACCTCTGAGTGACATAATCGCACGTAGCTACCACCGTGGGTGACGAGGGCAACAAGTAACCCTTAGCCTCTTTATTGCACCTACGCTCGTCTATGCGCCGCCACATCTCGTAAAGGATGACCGCGCAGATGAGGCTGAACTCGATCGTGCACGGAAATAGGAAAGGACTCGCGTCACGCAGCAGCTTCCGATGGATGCTGTTGTTGCCCCCTCCGCTCGTATTGATGATCATCGCGATGCCACTGCCATTGCCTTGGTGGGCGCTGCTGCTGCTGCTGATCGTGGTGATGTTCGTGCGCGGCCGTTCCAATTGGACGATCTCGCAGCGCGTCTCTTCGACCAGAGCCTGATAATTTGATGGGAAAGGAGCGTTCGTGCGCCCCTAAGTGTTTTAGTTTTTTCGTGTGATGAATACATATGCACCTTTTATCATGGATATTTTATTGCACTCAAGGATACATCGAGAATTCGGAAGTTAGTATTGATTATGATCCTTTGGTCAAAAATTTAAAGTTCGTTGGCAGTCGTTTTATTGAATTTCTGGTAAATGGAGCATTGTCGAGCTAAGAGTCATTGCTCAGGAGCAACAAAGCTAAACTCATAAAATAATAGACTTTTTTTATGAATATGATGAATGTTGTTGGTGCGTATAAATTTTATTATACATGTACTGAAAAAAAAATTCTTAAATTTAAGAATATATATATTTATGAGAATAGTTTCAGGTCAACAATCATTTGGAATAAAGTTACACTTTCTTACTTTAAAAGAGTATTCATTTCCAATAAGAAGATGTTTTTGTTGTAAAAAGGTTTTATTTTGTTTCAAGAGAATATTGCCTTGGATGTAACTTATTTCAGTCAATATTTTTTTGATTTTAAAAAACGTTTTTTTTTGGTGCAGAAGTGCATGATTTTATAAACGCAACAACTGCAGCAACAAGATTTGAGGACAAGATTTAAATGCCAAAACCAGACTGTCCTTTAAATTTTTTATCTTTAGTCCACAAATTATCGACTGAGTGTTATGAATCAAAAACCCATGAAGAAAATCTTCTATTCCACCTTTTAATCTTTTTTGTTAAAAGTACTACCAATCTATCGGCTAAAATCATTGAATATATGGATGTGATTTTATGAATGTGAGAATCTTTATCTGTTTAAATATCTGTTGCTTGGTAACCGATATTTTCATTGCTAAAGATTGTCAACTAATATTTTTGGATATAAATTTCACAATACCTTTCATATTTTCATTACAAATTACTTGGATCAGGAATGTAATTTAACCCATCAATAATATTAAAACTGATTTTTTTCTCGTATATTTTTTTACCTAATTTTAACCAAATTTTTGGTATTTCAAGGGTATAGTCAATATTGCCGCTGTTTGCAGATGTTAAAATGTATTATGGGCTTAAAATTAATTGTCTTGGTCCTGTCAATTTAAGAAATTGATTTAATGACATCGCTATTTTCCATCGTCATGGTAAATATAACAAAATTGTAATTGCGTGTTAAGAGCATTTTGACGCAAATCTTAATTTTTTTAATTTTTACCACTCACAATTACATTTTACACATCAACTTGTATTTAACAAGGAAATAATCTTTTTAGGCATGACTGTTTTTAGAGAAAACAAGTATTTTATAAAAACAGATTTTTAATAGTTCTTTCTTTTGAAAGAATACCTTAATCATCTCTTTAGCTATCAAACCTCATTGTATAAAAAAAACACATGTAGGATAATTGACTCATGAGTATTATTGGTCAATGATAAGTACTAACGTGAAAATATTTATAAGGTTTTAACTCATATTTGTTGAAAAAAAACAAAAAATCATTAAATATTTTTAATGAATATAGAACTTCTTTCACATAGGTTTGGCATAAGTATGGAGTAANTTTGTTGGAAGAAGTAATTGAATTTATGTAGTAAGCTTAAAGAAAAATTGCTAAGAATGATATGATAAAGTAGTTTAATAAAAAAAAGAAAAAGAAAAGAGCGTCTTCGATATGAATCGTGAAACTGTATTTTTTAAAATAATTTACTTTATTTGGTGAATTAAGACACTGTTTCTAAAAATTAACTGCATTCAAATATACTTGAAACATCTTTAAATGAGCAAATTTTAGTAGAAATTTAGTGGGACTGTTGTAGATCACCGTAGCTATGTTTTACAGACTTCGTTTCTATCCAGTACTTTCTAATATAAGCAACATTTAATATTATTAAGTTTTCTAAACTAAATATTTGAAAATGGTATTTTCCTGAAAAGTTGTGATATCCTCTTAAAAATAGTTTTTTACAAACCTTAAATGTTAGGTAAGTTTGATGTATTGAGTTCATACTTTGTAAGGGATTTCTGAACCTTTATACACACTGGCAATGAATAGTATTCTTCCTAATGAATCTGTAGCCTTAACAAGTTCTGAAATGAAGATATAAAAACGGTCAAGTTTTTTTTGCGCAGCATACATTTTGTATGACATTCGTAGTACAATACTGTTTAGTACTCGTAATTTAACAAAATCAAACTAAGTAATATTGACTTTTGACTGGTATTTCATGCAAACCTCACATCAAATACGTTCATGCCTTGCTATCTAGAAAGCATAGAAAAATGTTAGGGCAAAAGTCAATATTACTTAGTTTGATTTTGTTAAAGTACGAGTACTAAACAGTATTATACTACGAATGTCATACAAAATGTATGCTGTGCAAAAAAAATCTGACCGTTTTTATATCTTGATTTCAGAACTTGTTAAGGCTACAGATTCATTAGGAAGAATATTTTTCACTTCTAGTGTGTATATCGGTTCAGAAATTTCTTACGAAATATGAACTCAATACATTAAACTTACCTAACATTTAAGGTTTGTAAGAAACTATTTTTAAGGGTGTGTAATAACAGCTTTAAAGACGTAAGTATCAAATCAAACTATTATTATGAAAAATACCTTACAAATCTTGGAAATTTGTTCTGTATTTAATTTTTCCGAATTATAATGTTGGCATGAAATAAAAATTAGTTTCTTGATAAATATTTATTCCATTACAAAACCATATAACCATATTACCTATAAGACTGTCATAATATCGTAAATGACGCACTTCACTTGCTTGATGAACTGGATTCACGGATTTTCTACCTTAATGAAAATCATCAGAGTTTTTTCGACACACATTGTCACTGGTATTCGCATCTCGCAACGATTTTAAATAACAGTGTTAGTTTGCTGGTCGATAGGAAAGAAAACCAATTAACTAGGATTAGTGAGCTCATTGAAATGAAAACAAAAATTCACGCAAGTGCTCCATACACTTTTTGGCAACTTATATGCAACAGAGAGAGGGCAACATCAAATGCTCTTTCAAAAGCAAGCATCGGGCAATGATGGCCTAGCACAGCACGTATATGCGGTCCATACACGCGCAAGAGGGACAGCATCAAGCTACCCACTTGTTCGGCTCTTCCTTCGTAAACATCGGGGAAATTTCAAGGGAGGAAGGTAGAGAGAGGGAGCAAGTAAGTGTACCAGGTCCTGCTCCTTGACTGACTCGTCTGAGAGGCACTTGTGTAGCCTGAGGAATGGGAAAAGAGAGGTCCTCACCTCACCCTAAGTAAATCAGAGGAGCTGATGGTAACAAAGGCCTTGCACCGAGAGGGCACTAAGTATCCAGGAAGTATACACATACACGCGTCGAAATGCTATTTGTACGTGGACGCATAGCTATATATAGGTCGGCTGACGCACAACACTGGCTCGTCTCACGCGTCCGTTGTGGATGTTTAGTGTGGTATACCCTCCTAACGTGTGCGCGACAAGCAAAATGGGGTAAGAAAGGGTACGCTCTGTTCTTTTTACGACGAGTTTTCTTTCGGTCGACTGATGCGATGATGTTGGCAAAAGCATCGGGGGAATATTGAAAATTTAATTTTTAAACTATGTCAAATTTATTTGATTTCTTTGATGTTTTTGTTACAAATTATCACAGTCATGTGGATAACGTTGAGGAGTTACATCAGTAATGGTGTAGACTCGTACGAAAAATCGTCGCATTTTTATTTTTGTAAAGGAAATTTGTGTAGGATGGACAATTCATTATTTTGGATTTTTCGTACTAAAGTAGTACAAACTGGCATCAGTTTGAAGGTACATGAAGCAAAGACACTTACTTTAGTTGTAGTTGCTAAACTGTTTTCATTAAATCAGAACAATACAGCCCTAATGTTTCAACTAAAATTTTAATGAATCAATTTTTGTATTTTGATTTACAATGCAGTATTGGTCTCATCAACAGGATAGCAGTTTCATACAGTTGAAAAAGCAGTTATAAATATAGGAATTGTAAAATATTACCCGATTTTGCTATGCGATTTAGCTGAAGCCAATAACTGTTTCGCACACAAAAGTACATTCATCTCCTTACATACATGTAGTGGCGCTTTGGACAGCTTTCGGTAAAATTGGTCTCTCATACCTCCTTACACGGCAAGTGTTTATCCACTTGACCAGCTAAAAGACGTATCCAACATCCACTTCCAAAAGATTGAGTGCTCGGTAATGAACAAAGAGCTCCAAGGCAATTGTATTGAAGACGCTTTTCCCGACGGACGTAGATGCTTTGTAGGTGTGTCCACTTGACTCTTAGAGGATGGTTTAGAAAATGGGTTTACCAAGAAGCTTTCGCTGAAATTTTTTACGTGACGGGTTGGAGGGGGGATCTCTTTGAAGATAAGTATGATCATGTTCGTTGTGTAAATCAGGTGGGAGTTGAGACAATTTCTCGTTGTTCCATCAAGTAAAAGATGAAAAATAAATTTTAATTAATCGAAATACTATTTACT